CACTGCCTCAGTTTGAGAATGATTCCAACTTGGAACAGCTGGAAATAGCCTCATTTACCCAGCTGGGATTCTTCTTTTTCAAAAAAACTTCAAACAACCTGTAGAAGCCATCTTTGATTTGTAAAGATGAGTTGGTCATAAACATCATTAGAAATAGTTTTGCAATCAAATATTAATCATGAGAACTAAAACCAACTTAGCTGTGCATACTGTGTAGGAGATTACACCGAAGTCCAGCACTCAGTCCAGCAGAAGGCCACTCACTTTCACCACCCGGTATCTTGGACACAAAGTTGGCGATTCTAAATTGCTTTAAACTGTACGTCCTGTGCTCCATAGACAAGTGCACAAGCCTACGATCTCACATTTATTTAAAAAGCACATTCCGGAATCCCACAAATGACGAGACAATTTGTATGAACAAAATATCATGACTTTCAAAGCCTGAGAGTCTAAGTAACTACCCACTCTTCATTCAAATAAAGCAAAACAAAATTGATTGTTAGTGTGAAAATAGAGTAAAGTAATGCACAGGATAAATGCAACATTTTAATTTCCAACCTCTCCCCAAATTGAGTGTGTTTTACGGGCGAGCAGCAGTAGATTCATATATTTAAATTGCCCAGTTGCAATGGGGGAGCCGGGAAGGAGGGAGGGGGAAGGGGTCGTGGTGTGTTTGGCACACCTCCTGGGGAGGAATACATTTATAAGACGGACTTTACTTGACAAGTGCAATTAGTATAACATGGACCTTTGTACACTCAATGAATCCCCGACAATAAAAAAGTAAAAAAAATTAAAAAAAAAAAGAAGGAAAACCAAAATTGCCCAGTTTCAGCACCACCATTTCCTTCCTGATACTAAAAAGGCCGAGAGAGCACCTGCTTTGGCATAGCTCGCACTCCGCCGACTCATCTGTGCCAGTCGGAGCTGCCACACTCTGTGTCAGGTCTATTAGCACAAATAAAGTGTGGCGGGTCATGCTGGCAGCCTGCTTCCCCCAGTCTTGGCGCTTACTTCCCACTGATCCCGAGATGGGCGTAATTGTCTCCTCCTTTAAATGCCCAAGAAGAAGGTATTGAGGTCACAGCTGACAGGTCCCGTTGGCTTCTTCAGCTGCGTCAGTGGGGCCCCTGCTTTTCCATCCTCTGGTCCTTGCCAGCATCCTCTAGAGGGATGCTAATTTGGAACTGAGCACCAGGCCCCCTCTAACTATAAAGGGACCACCCTACAGTATATTAAAAGGTTCACATCAATGTATGCAATTTAAATGCGCATGCATATAATTAACTAGACACATTACCAGTGTGAGCTAATTTGGAATGAGGCACAAAAGACTGGAATGTGTGCAGAGAAAAAAAACCTTTAAAATTAAAATGACTACATAATGAAAACTGCTTCATGCTGTGTCTACCATTTCCATGTAAACTTAATATAACTGTAAATATATTTTAATGAACAGGAGAAAGAGGCAATCACAGAGAGCAGAGGAGGGCAGCTCCATGGCGAGACACCATCGCAACAGCTCGGCGCCTTCATATTAAAAGCGCCGCCTGAAGACAGAGGATGAATTATAACTTCATAATTTCAGAGGAAACATGTTTCCTATATTAAAGACACACACAGACCTATTTGCCAACCTGCTGGCAATGAAAACCGAGCACTCAAGGAGAAACAGGAGGAGATCTCAGATAATAGAAAAGCGAGGAAACCCAAGTTTGACAGTTTGATGTTGGAATACCGATTAGCTTCTTCTTTCCTGGTTAAAACAGCTTTACACTCCCTTAAAGATTTTTCCAGACTGTAAGTTCTTGATGTTCTTAAGCATCAAAAGTCATTATAGGCTTGCTACCCATCGCTCAGTGAGTAGGGCACTGGCCACATACACCAAGGCTGGCAGGTTGGAGCCCGGCCCAGGCCAACTAAACAATGACAACTGCCACCAAAAAACAGCCAGGCATTGTGGCAGGGGCCTGTATTCCCAGCTACTTGGGAGGCTGAGGCAAGAGAATTGCTTAAGCCCAAGAGTTTGAGGTTGCTGTGAGCTGTGATGCCACAGCACTCTACAGAAGGAGACATAGACGTGAGAAAAAAATAGAAGTCATTGTAGGTGTCATACTCAAAAATACGTGTGTAAGTGTAGGAGTCTTTGGTGAGGTCTGTATTTGGTGAGGTCTGTGTCTAACTGAAGGTTCAATTTGCAACTATAAGGGGAGTTTGATAAAATTCCATCACTTAACAATCTTAGGAAAATCATGTAAGATGCTGACACAGACACTGATGTTCTTAGTATTATATATAATTCATGTAGGAGGATGCAGGCTGAACAGCTGGAGGGTAACCACTAACGGTCTCCACGTCCGAGCCTGCGGGACACGGGAGCAGGGCAGAAATGTTTTTTGTAACAATTGAAAAGTTCAGCCATGAAATATCCGTGAGCATGAATTCTTCAAAGGAACGTGGAGATTTTTCCAAATATTGGAGGATATTCTTTAAATTTCTAAATGAAAAAATGAGACCTGGTGAGTTGCTGGGACAGCTTCCTTAGTGCGTGCCCCCTCGTCTGTGTGCGGAAGAGACCCCCGTGTCTGTAGAATGGAAAGGTCTTACATTTTAGGTGAACACTTTGGGCTTGGTTAAAAGAAGATGAATAACAGCATTGATAATCATCCTTGTTTTATGGCTAAAAATTCAACAAATCTACAGATTAAGTGGGAATATGAAATACAAGGCTGATATCTTTAAATCCACCTAAAATTATATAGATATTCCAGCTTGATCAAGAGTGAGACCCCCATCTCTACTAAAGATGAAAAACTGAGGCAGGATCGTTACTTGAGTCCAAGAGTTTGAGGTTGCTGTGAGCTATGATGATGCCATGGCACTCTACCCAGGGTAACAGTGAGACTCTGTCTCAAAAAAAAAAAAAATTAAACAGATATAATGTTATTAAGAATTAAAATTACTCAGTGATGCAGCTGACTGGCAAAGCCGGCGACTGCAGCCTCAGAGGAGCCGAGCAGAGCACAGGCTTCCAGTTTCAGGTAACGATGCCTTTCCCATCTAACTCAGCATCTGCAGGCCGTTTATATTTATGGAATTGTGGAATTTTGGAGCACAGAGAGGGTTTATAAATAATGTAGGATAAGTCTCTTGCTAAAACAGAGAAGCTAACTCAGGCCCAGATGGGCTAAATAATCCAGCCAGGGAATCCAGCCCGGAGTTCACCGCCTATTCATTCTACCACGTTGCCTTTCGAGTAACAGTTTTAGCAAAATAATATATGTAGCAATTTACTTAAAATTTCTCTTTTCACTTTTAATGACATTTTTCTTTGAATCTTCTTTTGCTCATTTGGAAGTCTTTGGTCAATATGTTTTATAGATTAATTTTCAAAAGAGTACACGTAAGAGTATTAGTAAATATTTTCAAAAGACCAAAATAATGTGCTTTTTAAATATATTCCTTTAAGATGACAACAGGGAACTAGGCTTGGCTCATTTATATATTTTTTTCTTAACAATTAGAATCATAATAGCATTAAAGTGCTGTTTTTATTTTCTTATGCATCCCTTTTAACCAAGGCAAAGCGATAGGGCACTCTAAAGGCTTGCATCCCCGCCAGTTATTTTCAATAGTTCTAATCCAGAATTCTAATTTTCGAAGAAATGGTTTTAAAGCATTAAAAACCAAGGGATGTGATTTGCTGAATAAGAATCAGAAAAAGCTGCCACAGAATAACCTTTTAATTCAAGAATTGTACTTACAAAAACTTACTGAAGAGCAAAACCTGAGTGTTGATCTCACAGGGCATTAGCTGTGATCTGCTGACTCCATTTTTATATAAAGCCGGTCATGTGAGCGGGGTTCCTATGTGATATGTCCCTTCATCAAATAACTTAAGCCTATTAACAAATGCTTTGGTGGTACTTGGTCCGTGGAGAGTTCCACTAATTGCCCTGTGCTTTTAACAGTTCCAAATGCATATTATAATTGTTTATTATAAAGCGACTGCCTGGCAGTTGCTCCGTGCCTCGCCTCAGGCTAATGAACGTTAGGCTGTGCAGAGAAAGCCCTATGGGTCCGCAGGCTGATGCAGGGACAGGCTCCCCGGACACACTCTTCTCAGGGCAAAGTGCAGCACACCAGTCATTCCGGCCTTCTAAATACGTGACAGTGGACACAGGGGAAACACACATGGCTTAATGCATGGCTAGGTTCAGAATTCACCGAGCTTCAAGAACACCAATGAGCAAAATCAAAGAAAAGATATCAAACCGTAATTAGGTCATGAACTCCTAGGAGCTGAAAACGCATCTTATGTACCCTACAAGCTCCCACTGCATTTGCTACAGTCCTGGCATTTGACAGGCATTTAATAGTGGTTTATTGATTGCTCATGAAAATGTTAAGACTCACCATAGTGACTGAAATCATTTCTAAAACTGCAACAGGTACTTGAATCCCCGGGAGGCAATGTGGTAAAATGGAAACGACTTTGGATTTGGAACCAGACAAACAGGGTTTGATCCCCGTCTGCACCGCCCATGTAGACGGAGCTCGCTCTCCTGGAGACCCAGGCTCCTTCTCTGTGGGGTGAGGATGATACTTGGTTGCAGAGACATTGGGGTAAAATGAAACGGTGATGCCAGAGGGCCCAGCACAGAGTCCTGGACAGGAGTGAACAGACCACAGACCTTCATCAACAGCCTAAATCTCCAGGCTTCCTTTACAGCCTTCTGCACCCGGCACACCACGGACCATGATAAACAGATATCGATTAAGTCAGTGACAGAAGCTGACCGTCCCCACAGCAGACTAAATAATTGTGAAAAACCATGAGAATCACATGACGCCAATGATCGGTTTTCTTCTTCTGAGACAACAAAACTCTGCTTATTTAATATTCAGGTGTAAAATATGATACTCGAACAAATACACTTTGTACTTGTAAAAAACACTTTCCACAGGCTTCTCTACCGGGACCCCATTAGCCTTACCAGTAACTGCCGGTGGAGGAAGGCATGTTACACCCAAAGAGCAACATATGGTGCACAGTATCCATGCTGGCGCGAGGTTTGAAGTCAACTGTTAAGAAAAAGAAAAACAAAAAATGATTCATAAAAGTGAATACTAGTTAGATCTCTCTGGGCATCAACGTCACAGAGACCACACCGTCCAACAGTCTGAATGCCTCTACAACAAGGAGTTTCCCCATTCCCAAGACAGAATGCCCTGGTTATGTGAATTACTCTATTCTTTAAGATGAATAAGACTTGATAATTTAATTTAGCGGGATAATAAACTATTTTATAGCAAAAGAAAAGAATAGGCTGAATGTTACACATACACATATTTTTTCAATAGAAGATCCCTTTCACAGTCGTGAGGGTTTTCTATAAGGATAAAATGAGCGCTTGAGGCCACGTGGTCACAACACATTGTCCTCCAGATCTCAGCGGAGTCTGAGGATTATAAAGGGCCGCACCACATTGTAGAAAAACAGAAGCCACAGTGAGTAGTGGAAACGTGAGCAAAAAAACTCACAGCACAAATGTATTACCATCTTAAAATAACAACAATACTACAGTCACTAGGATGGATTTAGGAAGATGATTTACTGGGAAAGAAAAACAAAAGTGGAAGATGTATCTTTACAGAAGTCCAGAAAAGTTAGAATTACTGTCCTGAGTGAGCATAGCATATTTGTTAAAGGGATATTGAAACTTAGGTCAGTCATTTCTCTTTTTCTTCTGACAATGGCAGTTGAAAAACATTAAAATTAACTAATACAGAGAAAAAATAAAATAAAATAATATTATCCATGTGCTCCCCTGGGGTGTGTCTGGCTCCTCCTCCAAAACGCTGCCAGCGGGCAGAGGAGGTTGACAAGTCACCTTCACACACACAATTCTAATTGACCTAAAATGACCTTAAGTCTCAGGTATTTGCAAAACTTCCAGCTATTTTGGTTGGTCTGACTGATACCATGAATAAAACTTTACTTATTGCTGGAATATACCTGAAATATGAATATTTATAAAATTTAAAAATTGCTCTACAGAAACTATGCCACCATGACTTGGAAAGGTGGATCAGAAAACATACGGGGCCAGTTACGCACCTTCCTGAAATACAACATTCAGAGAAAATAAAAAGCTTTTATTTACTGCACTAAAAATAAGGACTTAAAGAGTAAAAATCAAATCTTAAGATTTTCATAGTACTATATAAGATACTAACAAAGATCGAATGGCTGGAAAAGTGGCCTGGATGTCTGGTGAGACTTTGTTGTCTGTTACCAAAGAATAGAGGAAGCCTCAGGGAATGAAGAAGATGCTTTGAAAGGCGAGAAGCAATTGGAACTTACAACAGTTCACAGTTCATAAAAATCCTATTGTTGGGAGGCCTAAGACTGTCAGCAAGGGAGATGGAGAGCAGAGGGCTCTATCTCTGCAGACACTAGGAACAGAGAGCAGAGGGCTCTATCTCTGCAGACACTAGGGAGACAGAGAACAGAGGGCTCTATCTCTGCAGACACTAGGGAGACAGAGAACAGAGGACTCCATCTCTGCAGACCACTAGCAATACAGAGAGCAGAGGGATCCATCTGTCCAGACACTAGGCAGACAGAGAGCAGAGGGCTCCGTCTCTATAGACACTAGGGAGACAGAGAGCAGAGGTCTCCATCTCTGCAGATACTAGGGAGACAGAGAGCAGAGGGCTCTATCTCTATAGACACTAGGGGGACAGAGAGCAGAGGTCTCCATCTCTGCAGATACTAGAGAGACAGAGAGCAGAGGGCTCTATCTCTATAGACACTAGGGGGACAGAGAGCAGAGGGCTCCATCTCTGCAGA